TCTCACTCTGTCACCCAGCCTGGAGTGCAATGGCATGATCTCCACTCACTGCAACCTCCACCTCCCAGGTTCAAGCAATTCTCTGGCTCATCCTCCTGAGTAGCTGGGATTACAGGCACCTGCCACCATGCTCAGCTAATTTTTCTATTTTTCGTTTGTTTGTTTGTTTTTTTGAGACAGAGTCTCGCTCTGTTGCCCAGGCTGTAGTACAGTGGCGCGGTCTCCGCTCACTGCAACCTCCGCCTCCTGGGTTCAAGCGATTCTCCTGCCTCAGCCTCCCGAGTAGCTGGGACTACAGGTGTGTGCCACCACACCCAACTAATGTTTTGTATTTTTAGTAGAGACGGGGTTTCACCATGTTAGCCAGGATGGTCTCAATCTCCTGACCTCATGATCCACCCACCTGGGCCTCCCAAAGTGTTGGGATTACAGGCGTGAGCCACTGTGCCCGGCCTAGTTTTTGTATTTAGTAGAGATGGGGTTTCACCATCTTTGCCAGCCTGGTCTTGAACTCCTGACCTCATGATCCAGCCACCTTGGCCTCCCAAAGTGTTGAGATTACAGGTGTGAGCCACCGCGCCCAGCCAAACAAGGTGCTTTCTAAGAGCCCTTTCACCTCTGCAGTTCTAGACATCTGGATGTGACCTTGAGTGACTTTTCCTAAGACCTGGAGACATTCTAGTGAGGGAGTGGGGCTGATTTCATCTGAAGGCAGGCAGAGCAGAGAGAGCTATGGCATCGGAGAAGCACAGGGGCCTTGGCTGGGAGACCCACTGTTTCCACAGGGGACCATGAAGAAGTGAGAGAGGCCTAAATTGCAGGGTGGATTCCAGAAAGACACTGGTTAAAATGGAGAGATGGGTCTGGGTGCGGTGGCTCATGCCTGTAATCCCAGCAGTTTGTGAGGCCAAGGCAGGCAGATCACTTGAAGCCAGGAGTTGGAGGCCAGCCTGGCCAACATGGTGAAACCCTGTCTCTACTAAAAATAAAAAAATGAGCCAGGTGTGGTGGTGGGAGCCTGTATTCTCAGGTACTTGGGAGATTGAGGCAGGAGAATCGCTTCAATCCAGGAGGGAGTGGTTGCAGTGAGCCGAGATCTCACCACTGCCCTCCAGCCTGGGAGACAGAGCGAGACTCCATCTCAAAAAAAAAAGAGAGAGGGAGAGATGGTGTTTTCTTAGCAGAGGTCTTTAAGGATTGGGAAAGACAAGTGCCAGGCTTGAATGGCAAGGAGGGGTCGGGGTTGGATGCTGGGTGCTGAGCAGGCTCCTTTCTTGCCACAGTAGCAATAGCCAGACCCAAGGCCTCAGGGCCCAGAACGAGGGCCGCCTAAGGGTCACACACACCCTTGCAAAGACAATGGCAGAAGATACTGAAGGGCGTGGCTTCTGCTTGGGGAAAAGTGGTGTTAGAGGTGGAGACACTGCTCAAGTCCAGGGAGAGGGTGGACACACAGTTGGGACTGACCTGTTAAAGCCCCTGAGCTCTGCAGAGGCCACTTCCAAAGGCGCTTGGCCTCCCCTTTCTGTTTCTTGGGATCTGTGTCTCCCACTCTTTCTCCCTCAAGTTCTTCCCATCTCCCAGCCTCTTCCTCAAAGTAATGACAGCTGGATTTCCAGCCACCCATCACCCCTTTTCCCTCACCTTCCCACAGCACACCAGCCAGTGCAGCGGGGGAGGAACTGGGTGTCAGGAATTCGGGGCCTGGGGCCTCCTGGGGTGGGGAGATGGGGAGAGGGTGCTCTAGGGAGACAGAGCTCCTGTTTACATTGCTCTTGGCACCTGCTGGCAGGGACCTGCAGGTAACCATGGCAATCAGGTGAGGAGCCAATCAGTGCTTCTCCCCACCCCCAGCCCCAGAGGTAACAGTCAGAACCTGTGGGGATGGAGTGGGGGGAGCAGGGAGTGTAGCAAGGGGCTTATTTTCTTAAACTGGAGAAGGAGCAGTGTTTCATTCAGTCAGCACCGCCTTGGGCCTCGGTCTAGAAAGGGTCCTGAGGAATAGGCTGGGGCTGAATTCTCAGAAATGCTCAGGGAAGTGATTGGGTGAGGGGCACAGCCATTCGCAGTGTGGGGCTTCTGGCTGTGGGGTCCTTAAGAGCAAGTGTCAGCCGGGTGTGTTGGCTCACATCTGTAATCCCAACACTTTGGGAGGCGAGACAGGCGGATCACTTGAAGCTAGGAGTTCAAGACCAGGCTAACCGACATGGCGAAACCCCATCTCTGTTTATAAAAATATATATATATACAAAAATTAGCCAGGTGTGGTGGCATGCGCCTGTAATTCCAGAAGGCGGAGGCATGAGAATCACTTGAACCCGGGAAGTGAAGGCCGCAGTGAGCCAAGATCACACCACTGTACTTCAGCCTGGGCAACGGAGCAAGACTGTCTCAAAAAAAAAAAAAAAAAGAGCAAGTGTCTGTTCTGAAAATACAGCGAGTGTGTGAATGAGGTGGCTTGGGCGGTGTGAAGTGTGCGGAGCCTATGTGTTTACGTGTGTGTGTGTGTACGCGTGCACATGTATATGAGGGTGAACGGGAGAAAGATGAGGGCATGCGACAGAGACCCCAGGCGTTATCAGAGCTCAGCATCAGCATGTTTGTTGGTGGCTCTGCACACACACATAGATGCATCTGGACACACACATGACTGACAGGCAGGCACAGGAAGTACCTTTCTTTGGAGGCCCAGATGGCACGTACACATGATGGATATTACACACGCACAGAGAGACAGCCACTTGGATTGTTCTCTCCTCTGGATGGTTGTAATAATATTTGGGCATCTTGCCAGGGACAGGGTTACTATGGAAACGACCAAACAGTGGAGTAGCCAGCAGCTTTCTGCGTAATTGCAAAGGGGGGACCCATGCAGGGAGGGCTGGCCAAGGCCACTCTGCGTGGGGTGGGAACCCCTCTCCCTTCTCAGATCCCTGGGGCCGCATCCTCTCTGCCGTGTCTCTGGGCTTGCCGTGGGACTGGCTTGTTCCCCTCTGTCTGCCCTGTAACCTGGTGTCTCTCCCACGTGTGGCCTCTGTGTCTCTGCATCTCTTTCTGTCTCTGGCCAGGTTCCCTGAGCCTCTGTTGGCTGGCTGGGTCCTGGCCAGACTCATCCTGGGGTCTCTATAGAAACTGCTGATCCCGGCTGTGAATTTCTTGTCCTAGAAAACTCAGTGTGGTGGCTTTAGAAATCTTTCTGGAAAGGAGAGAAGGGTGTGCGTATGTTGTAAAGGAGCTGTTGGGGCTTGGCCTCTTCCCAAGCCCCACCCTTGGGCTTTTACTCTGGGAAAGAGGAGGGAGGGGCTGTCCCTTCCAGGTGCAGGTTTGGTTTGATTTCTTTACCAAGAAGGAAGCACAGTGGCCAATCCAGAGCTGGACTTTTCACCTCTCCAGACCCTGCCTGGGCCTGGCTGGTGTCGGGCAGGCGGTCTGGGCACAGAGCACTTTCTGCCCAGCTTTGGCAGGCATCTGTGAGAGCCTGTGGTTTGTCACTGGACAGCCTGTGAACAGGTGGCAGAGGCGTCACCAGGGCAGGAGACAGCGGGAGAGTAACAGTGACCATGTGGGGGGAATTCCTGCAGTGTGCATGAAAGGGGGGTTCCTGGACCCTGTGTGCTTGTGGGCAGGGAGCACTCATGCAGGGGGCTGTCCATCAGGGGCACTGGGAGGGATTCCTGTGGCAGGGGTATAGCCTTTTTGCCTAAACTCTTTGAGTCCAGGGCTAGGGCTGGAGCTGTGCATTCCCAGCTTCAGGCATGTAAGGACCCTCTCTGTTCCCTGCCTGAATCCCAGGCCTGGAAGCCAAATGGTCAGCGTATGGTGGATTTTCTGGGAGCAGCCTATATTTGGCAGACTTTAGAGGAGGGAGGTGCTCCAAAGCCTAGGCTGGGTGCGGAGCCAGAAGCACAAGGGATGGCTGTGGCCTTCTAACTTAGGGCAGCCTGTGCCCTGGTGCTTCCAGGGAAGCCTTCTTGAAGGAGGAGTGAATGGACGGAGTAGATAGGAGGCTGGGATCAAGTCTGAGGCCCTGCACCTGGGTGGAGGGGTTGAGGGAGTGAGGATAACTTATTTTTCCCTTCTTCTGTTCCTTGAAGTTTCAGGCCAGTGGCTGATTTATCTGAGTTTCCTCCTAGTTCCTAGGATGCTTTAAATGTGGACCATGTGAGTGAATACGGATTGGGATGGGGGAGTTTTGTTTTTGTTTTTCTTTTTTAGACAGAGTCTCGCTCTGTCGCCCAGGCTTGAGTGCAGTGGCATAATCACGGCTCACTGCAGCCTCAACCACTCAGGCTCAAGGGATCATGTGAGGCAGGAGGATCCTCCTGCTGTGGCCTCCCAAAATGCTGGGATTACAGACATAAGCCACTGCACCCGGCCTGGGATAGGAGAGAGTTTAAAAAGCCCTCTTCTCTTCCATTTTCCTGCCTCCTCACACTCTCTGGGGAGTTGGGCAGTACATCCTGTGGCCTAACTTCAATCTTTCCTCCTGCTCTCCAGAGGGAGCCTGACCTTGTTGCTCAAGGCTGTGTGACTCTCCAGAGCCCGGGCACCCAATGAACACACAGAGGGGGCCAGAAAGAACCAGCCGCATGTACGCCCCCAGCCGACCCTGAAGGCAGAGAAGGGTCTTGGGCTCAGGGAGAGATGTGCTGGGAGGTGTGGAGTGAAGTGTGGGAGGGGCTGCCGAGGCTCTGGGTTTCTTTTTTTTTTTTTTTTTGAAACAGAGTCTCGCTCTCTCGCCCAGGCTGGAGTGCTGTGGCTCAATCTTGGCTCACTGCAAGCTCAGCCTCCCGAATAGCTGGGACTACAAGCGCCCGCCAGCACCCCCGGCTAATTTTCTGTATTTTTAGTAGAGACGAGGTTTCACCGTGTTAACCAGGATGGTCTTGATCTCCTGACCTCGTGATCCGCCCGCCTCGGCCTCCCAAAGTACTGGGATTACAGGTGTGAGCCACCACGCCCGGCCAACTCTGGGTTTCTGATTCCACTTTGTTTCCCAGGGCAACGCTCCCCAGTCCCCCCACCCCTGACCCCGGAATCATGCATCGGACTACACGGATCAAAATCACAGAGCTGAACCCCCACCTCATGTGTGCCCTCTGCGGGGGGTACTTCATTGACGCCACCACTATCGTGGAGTGCCTGCATTCCTGTGAGTTGGGGGGAGGGGAGCTGCTCAGGGTGGGCAGCCTCTGTGCCCAGATTGGGGTGGGCATGGCCTGAGGAAGGTAGCACACAAACCCTTGCCCTGAAGAGCCAACGTGCCCACGTGTCTGCTGGGAATCCTCAAGTCACAGAGGGCCTACCTTGCAGGGGCAACTGGGTGCGGGCATCGGCCCAGAAGTTCATTTCAAGGACTTGCATCTGAAATCTTAGCTCTTTCTTGAAATGACTGAAATTGTATGCCCTGAAGATGCAGACACCCCTTGTTTGTACTGTGGGCTTGGCAGCAAGGGGGTGAGACCCAGGGGCATCTTGAACAGGCTGGCTTTTGTCCTCCACTCCATTGGGGAGCTTGGGACTGAGGGCTGACCTTCTGCGTTGTACGTGACACTGGCCTGTCTCACACAAGATCCAGCTTCCCTCAACAATGCACAGGGACAGGTGCCACACGTGCAAAACACACATCGCCACGTTGGGCCTCGGAGCAGGGACAGGGTGGAGGTGAAGGGATATCTGAGTCTGAGCAGAGGGTGGGGAGGCTGGTCCTGGGATTGGAAGGCGACTCTGACTCTCCTCCCTCTCTCCACACCCCCAAGTCTGCAAAACCTGCATCGTGCGCTACCTGGAGACCAACAAATACTGCCCCATGTGTGATGTGCAGGTCCATAAAACCCGGCCGCTGCTGAGCATCAGGTAGGCTTGGCACCGCACTCCTGCCCCCGCCATCCTCTGGGTCAGCCTCCCCCATCCCTCCCGCACTCCGTGCTTCCTTCAGGCAAGGCGGCAGGTGTGGGAGAAGCACGGCGTGTGGACTTGGGCTACTCCCCTCCCTTGGGGTTGCATTTGGCTCATCATAGGCTGAGAGGCATACTAGAGGGTCAAAGACCAGACCCACAGGGATCCCAATGCCTGGACAGTGGGTCTCAGAAAGGGAGTGGGTAGAGAGGTCCCATGACTGGGAGAGCAGGGTGAGGTCAGAGCAGTTCTCTGGAGAGCGCATTGCTGATACACCCTGTCCATTTTTCCCCAGGTCTGACAAAACCCTTCAAGACATTGTCTACAAATTGGTCCCTGGGCTTTTTAAAGGTATCTGCACACCATTCCTCCTCCTGCCCACCGACCCCATTTCCCATCCCATGGCCCTGTCCTCATCCGCTCCCTTCTTCCAGATGAGATGAAACGGCGGCGGGATTTCTATGCAGCGTACCCCCTGACAGAGGGTGAGTGTGCTCGCATCTGTTTGTGTGTGCATGGGCGTGCCTGGGACCATGTAGGTGTGTAGTGTTACCAGTCACCCTCTGACCTCCTCGGCGCACACCTCCCCAGAAGGTGGCCCGGCTCACCTGGCTGAGTTCATGATCCCTGGGTCCTTGGCGGGCTCCCTTCTTCCATCCTCCACCAACCCAAGAGCTCTCTCCTTCTGCAGTCCCCAACGGCTCCAATGAGGACCGCGGCGAGGTCTTGGAGCAGGAGAAGGGGGCTCTGAGCGATGATGAGATTGTCAGCCTCTCCATCGAATTCTACGAAGGTGCCAGGCAAGTCCGGCCCAGGCTGGCCCCTTCTGGGCTCCTAGGTTGGGTCACCCCTTCTTCCACCCAGGGCCCTCTGGATGTGTCCATCGAGGGACCATCCTCCTGGGTCTCCTGGTTCTTCCTGGGTCTTCCTAGCTTCGTTCTTTCTCCATCCCCAGGGACCGGGACGAGAAGAAGGGCCCCCTGGAGAATGGGGATGGGGACAAAGAGAAAGTGAGTGCTGGGGCCTGCCAGGACTGGAATGTGGGCTGGGAGGGAGTGGCCTGGGGTGGATCCCCTACCATGGGTGCCTGTGCCCCAACAGACAGGGGTGCGCTTCCTGCGATGCCCAGCAGCCATGACCGTCATGCATCTCGCCAAGTTTCTCCGCAACAAGATGGATGTGCCCAGCAAGTACAAGGTGGGTCCCTGGGCCTTTCAAATAATGAGTGTCTGTATATGGGTGTGTCAGACAGTCTGTGCACGCCAGCCATTCGTCAGGGCTGGCTAGTTGTCACCCAAGGCTTTCGTGGTTAACTGAACCCATGTGTTAATAGAAGGGTGGTTGAAACCAAGATTAGGGGGCAGTCTGGGGGTGTTGAAGTAAGTGTGCAGTAGTGCATGGGACCAAGATGGTGTGTATGTGTGCATGTTGCACACTCGGAACTGTGGCAGAGATGAGTGCAAAAACGCAGGGCCTCCTCTGGGGCCGGTTGGCTGTGGGAAGGCTAGTCTGAAATTCCAGCAGAGCTCCAGGACATGACTTTTCAAGCTTGAATGTGTATGTGTCCCCTGGAGATCTTGTTAAAATGCAGATTCTGATTTAGTAGATTCCTTTTTTTTTTTTTTTTGAGATGGAGTCTTGCTCTGTCACCAGGCTAGAGTGCAGTGGAGCGATCTCGGCTCACTGCAACCTCCGCCTCCCGGGTTCAAGTGATTCTCCTGCCTCAGCCTCCCAAGTAGGTGGGATTACAGGTGCGTGCCACCGCACCCGGCTAGTTTTTGTAGTTTTAGTAGAGACGGGGTTTCACCATGTTGGTCAGGCTGGTCTTGAACTCTTGACCTCGTGATTCACCCCACTCGGCCTCCCAAAGTACTGGGATTACAGGCGTGAGCCGTGGCACCCGGCCAGATTCCATATTTCTAACAAGCTCCTAGCTACTGAAGGTCCACAGATCACACTCTAGGACAGTGGATCCTAAACTGTTGCCTGTTAAATCTCACGAGTTAACTCACAACTTACCAGTTAAGTCAGAATTTCTGGGGGTAAGATGCAAGCATTGATTTTTTGTTTTTGCTTTTTTTTTCTTTTCCCTCTGTCACCCAGGCTGGAGTGCAGTGGCATCATCTTGCCTCACTGCAACCTCCGCCTCCTGGTTTAAAGTGATTCTTGTGCCTCAGCCTCCCAAGTAGCTGGGACTACAGGTACATGCCACCACACCTGGCTAATTTTTGTATTTTTAGTATAGACAGGGTTTCACCATGTTGGCCAGTCTGGTCTCCAACTCCTGGCCTCAAGTGACCCACCCGCTTCAGCCTCCCCAAAGCTCTGGGATTACAGGTGTGAGCCACTGCACCTAGCCAGGCATTGGTGTTTTTTTGTTGTTTTCTTTTTTTTTTGAGACAGAGTCTTGCTCTTGTTGCCCAGGCTGGAGTGCAATGGCAGGATCTTGGCTCACCGCAACCTCTAACCCCCCCAGGTTCAAGCAATTCTCCCGCCTCAGCCTCCCGAGTAGCTGGGATACAGGCATGCGGCACCATACCCAGCTAATTCTGTATTTTTAGTAGATACTGGGTTTCTCCATATTGGTCAGGCTGGTCTTGAACTCCCGACCTCAGGTGATCCGCCCGCCTCGGCCTCCCAAAGCTCTGGGATTACAGGTGTGAGCCACCACACCCGGCCTAGGCATTGGTGTTTTTTTTGTTGTTGTTGTTGTTGTTTTTTGAGACAAGACGGAATCTTGCTCTGTCACCCAGGCTGGAGTGCAGTGGAGCAATCTCGGCTCACTGCAAGCTCCACCTCCCGGGTTCACGCCATTCTCCTGCCTCAGCCTCGGGAGTAGCTGGGACTACAGGCGCCTGCCACCACGCCCGGCTAATTCTTTGTATTTTTAGTAGAGACAGGGTTTCACCATGTTAGCCAGGATGGTCTCGATCTTCTGACCTCGTGATCCGCCCGCCTTGGCCTCCCAAAGTGCTGGGATTACAGGCCTGAGCCACTGTGCCCAGCCGGCATTGGTGTTTTTTAAAGCTCCCTGGGTGATTCCATTTTGCAGCTGGGGGTGAGAGCCAGAGTTCCAGGAGATCCCCCTGAGCCTTTCAGCTCCTCTGGGAGACCTGCCAGAGATAGGAGATCCAGACAGCTGTGTGCATGGTGGGACTGGGGGCTGCTAACAATAGGGGAATCTTCTCTGGACCCCTTCCTGCCTGGTGGTCAGGAGTTATGTTGGAACAACTCTGACAGGGAAGTCAAATCCATAGTGAAACCCCAGAGAAATGAGGGACCATCTGCAAATCCACCCTTCCCATTGCCCCGCCTCCCAGTCCCCGACATTCGCAGCCTGGAGCCCCAAGCTAGCCAGGGTCGTGGTGTCTTCCGCTTCCCTCCCCCAGGTGGAGGTTCTGTACGAGGACGAGCCACTGAAGGAATACTACACCCTCATGGACATCGCCTACATCTACCCCTGGCGGCGGGTGAGCCAGCGGGTGGGGCAGGCAGGGAGCAGACTCCCGCAGGGTCTGGCATTGGTCTGTGGCCACATGGGTCACCCTTCTCTAATCAGAGACAGTCCATCCCTTGTGCCATGAGCTGTGTGTCCAGGGTGGCTTGCTACAGCAGCTCAGCCTCTGGGCCATCTCTTGCGGATGACTTTCCACTCAGGAGACAAGGCTCCTTGGGCAGATGGCATTCCCCGATTTGGGGGCAGAAATAGGTGCTGGCAGCTGCCGTGTGTTTGCCTCCCTCTCTCCTCTCTGACAGAGTCTCTGCTTAGACCTTTTGCCTCTCTGGGTCTTCATGTGCCCTGTATCCTTGTCTCTCTCCTCTCCAAGACCCTATCCCATCCTTTTTTTCGTGTTTGCACATTGCGGGTTAAAGCTGGTGGCCCTCTAGTTGGCCTCTCTCTCCTGATACCTTCCCCTTCCCTGTCTCTCTCCTCGCCCCTTCTCCCCGCAGAACGGGCCTCTTCCTCTCAAGTACCGTGTCCAGCCAGCCTGCAAGCGGCTCACCCTAGCCACGGTGCCCACCCCCTCCGAGGGCACCAACACCAGCGGGGCATCCGAGTGTGAGTCAGTCAGCGACAAGGCTCCCAGCCCTGCCACCCTGCCAGCCACCTCCTCCTCCCTGCCCAGCCCAGCCACCCCATCCCATGGCTCTCCCAGCTCCCATGGGCCTCCAGCCACCCACCCTACCTCCCCCACTCCCCCTTCGACAGCCAGTGGGGCCACCACAGCTGCCAACGGGGGTACCTCGAACTGCCTGCAGACACCATCCTCCACCAGCAGAGGGCGCAAGATGACTGTCAACGGCGCTCCCGTGCCCCCCTTAACTTGAGGCCAGGGACCCTCTCCCTTCTTCCAGCCAAGCCTCTCCACTCCTTCCACTTTTTCTGGGCCCTTTTTTCCACCTCTTCTACTTTCCCCAGCTCTTCCCACCTTGGGGGTGGGGGGCGGGTTTTATAAATAAATCTATATATATATGTATATAGGAAAAACCAAATATACATACTTATTTTCTATGGACCAACCAGATTAATTTAAATGCCACAGGAAACAAACTTTATGTGTGTGTGTGTATGTGTGGAAAATGGTGTTCATTTTTGGGGGGTCTTGTGTAATTTGCTCTTTTTGGGGGTACCTGGAGATGAACTGGATGGGCCGCTGGAGGCTCAGTGAAGCTCTGCACGGTCCTCGCTGTTTCCCAAGGCAGATGGTGTGTTGGGACCCCTTCAGCCCCAAAGCTTTAGGCATGATTCCAACTGGCTGCATATAGGAGTCGGTTAGAATTGTTTCTTTCCCCGTGTCTCTCCCCATCTTGGCTGCTGTCCTGCCTCTGACCAGTGGCTGCCCCCCGCATTGTTGAATGTCCAGAAATTGCTAAGAACAGTGCCTTTTACAAATGCAGTTTATCCCTGGTTCTGAGGAGCAAGTGCGGGCTGGAGGTGGCACCTGCATCACCTCCTCCTCTTGCAGTGGAAACTTTGTGCAAAGAATACATAGTTCTGCCTCTTTTTTTTTTTCCTGTGTGTGTGGCCTTTGCATCATTTATCTTGTGGAAAAGAAGATTCAGGCCTTGAGAGGTCTCAGCCCTTGGAGTTCCACTGTGGCTTTAGCATTGTGAAGCACTGAACCCCCACCGACCCTACCCTCACCCGGGAACCCTCACTAGCAGGACTGGTGGTGGAGTCTCACCTGGGGTCTAAAGTGGAAGTTGGGGTGGGTTAACCTCACACAAGCACAGACCCCAGACTTTGCCAAAGGCAAACAGCCTTCCAGTTGCCCCTCCACCCCCAGCTGAGGCCCGGTCACCTGGTCAGGACAGAGCAACTGCATCTAAAAGCACAAGAAGACAGAAACCTGTAAGCTCTGACCCCACCCCCACCCCTTGAGAGGTCAGCAGACCACCTCCTTAGGGACAGACCCTGGCAGGTCCCTGCCCACCGAGATTTCCTCATGTGTGCATAGATCTGGGAGGATATGGGAGTCGAGACTCAAGATTCCATCACAGCCTAGGTGTGTGGGGTTGGGAGTCCCCTGATGGGCTTGTCTGTATTTGCACCTTGTCCTGTGTCTGAGGTCCTGTGACTGTACCCTCCTCTGCCCTGGGACATCTGTATCTCTTGGCTTTGTAATAAATGCTGCATACCTTCTGGAGCCTGTAGTTCTTTGGGGTAGAGGGAAGAAGGGAAGGGTGCCTCATCTCTGGGTTCAGCCTGATTTGGGGACCCCATACTTAATGAATATGAACTGCCCTCTCCTGTGGCAACTGGTCAGGAGCCCCCAGCCCACAGACAGGTTGAAATCTGGAGTAGCAGGCAGCACGTGGGCCTCATAGCAATGACTACAGGACCACCAGTCTAGTTGGGTGGCTTGTTTTTACCATCTTCCCCATCAGCAAACATTGAACCAGGGCCCACTCCCGCCTGCCCCAGACTGGAGACTTTTAGGTTATAGGGAATAATTCTTCCTTCATGAGCCAGCTGTGGGTACCAGAACTCTTTCTTGGGCTCAGCACCTGTTTCCTTTCCCACAGAAGGGGGTGCCTGTCAGAGGCCGGGAGCCAAGGCCACCTGTGGCTGGACAGCAGCAGCCCCCTCAGAGTGGGGAGCCCACTTCTGCCTTCTGCACGCGCTCACTCCTGTGGGTGCCATCGCAGTACGGGGGCCTCTGAGTGGCCTTGCAGGTACAGAGTGCCACCGTGCGGGTCTCTTGGGCCTTGAACTTGAGGGGAGATAGGCCAGTGCGTTGGAAGAAGTGGGAGCCGTCACAGAAGGGCTGGTGGGGGAAAGACGGGAGTCAAAGACCTGACCCCACCTGCTGGCGTGGGGCGGGGCAGGGCACGCCGCAGGAGCTCAGGGGGAGTGCAGCACAGTGGTTAGGGTGCAGGCTCCAGCGTGAGACTGCCGGGGCTCACCGAGTGACCTCTCTAATCTGTAATGTGGGGGTGATAAGAGTAGAGTTGTATGAGGAAATAAAATAATGATCATGGTATGCTTTGCCTATAGTAAGTGTCTGGTAAGTATTTACAGCGGCTTTATAGCATTAGTCTCTGGGACACCCAGAGAGCCAGGACACTAAAGATGTGTGTGTGTGTGTGTGTGTGTGTGTGAGAATGGCTCTGAGTCTCCACTGGATCATGAAATTCATTTCCTTCCCATGTTCCTGGGTTAAAACTTCTTTGAGCTGGAGAGTACCCTGTGGTAGCAATTTTGTTTGGCTCTAGGGAATAATTGGGCATGTGACAGGGAGTGAAGGTTACCGGGAGGAGGGGATGCCCATAGCAAACTGGCTGACTGGCACAGAAGTGTACTCCCCATCCCAGAAGCTGCTCGAGCAGAGACTGGTAATGGAAACAGGCCCAGAGAGGTGACATGCCTTGTTAGTTGAAGGCAGAACTGGTGCCAAGGCTTTTTTTTTTTTTTTTTTTTTTTGACAGGGTCTCACTCTGTTGCCCAGGCTGGAGTGCAGTGATCCAAACACGGCTCACTGTAGCCTCAACTTCCTGGGCTCAAGTGGTCCTCCTTCCTCAGCCTCCATTATGGCTGGGAACACAGGCCCAACTCCATGCTAGTTTTTGGTAGGGGTAGAGGCATTTGTAGAAGCGGGGTCTCAACTTTGTTGCCCAGACCGTTCTTGAACTTCTGGGCTCAAAAGATCCTCCTGCCTTGGCCTCCCAAAGTGCTGGGATTACAGGTGAGCCACCTCGCCTGTGAACCAAGGCCTCTTGACATTGGAGTTAGGGTGGGATGGAAGAGAGGTGAAAGAAGCGTGCAAATAGAAACCAGCAACTTGTCTTAGAGGGCTTGAGGTGTGTGGACCTAAGTGGGACTCAGGGACCCTGGGCTGCTGACACCATGCCACACAGCTTGAAGGAACACCAGTCAGAGCTCTGCTCAGGAAGGAAAGGGGCCAGGGAGGCAAACAATATGGGCAGGTTCCTGCTGGGATGAAAGGTTCCTGGGCAGAAGGGGAAGCAGGTGGGGCAGGCAGCGAAGCTGAGAAGACAGCAAACTGTGGCAGGCGGCCAGGACGTCCCATAAACTAAGAAGGAAGAGTTTTCTGGAAGAAGAGTGGAGAGCGGCACAGGGAAAGGCTGGGAGGCTTTGGAGGCAGGAGAGCCTGAGCAGAATCTCTTCCCAATGTGTCTATGGCCATACCACCCTGAACGTGCCCAATCTCATCTGATCTCGGAAGCTAAGCAGGGTCAGGCCTGGTTAGTACTTGGATGGAAGACTGCCAGGAAATACCAGGTGCTGTAGGCTTTCGGGGTTCAAGGCCTGGGAATCTATGGCCCAGGTGCTTCCTGGAAGGAGACAGGGAAGGGCCAGGTGAGCTTCGTCATGCAGTGCACCTCTGAGAAGCAAACAGCTCCAGAAGAGCCCACTGGAAGCCTAGCCACATCAGACTGGCTGCGTGACTGAGTTTCTGTCTCTCTGGCTTCATTGCAAGAGATAGATGCAGTGAGCTTAAGGTTGCTGGTGGCACTGGCCTTTTGTCCCCAAATCCCCTTGGTGTCCCTCAGGTATGTATGGGAAGACTAAAATCATCTGGGTGGGAACTCACTGGAGTCACCAGGCTGTTCCCAGAGGTATCAGTAGGAAGGCAGGTAGGGGTCTCACCTGCTTCTTGCTGCGGCCACACACACACCACCTGTAGGTTTTCCCTGCCACCAGCTCCACCTTGATGGGGGTCTTCAGGGCCACCACAGACCTGGCTGGGGTTCTAGGGAACCACCGGGCCTGTGGCCAGGGAAGATGAGGGGCTCAGGGTTAGCTCAAGCCCTGGAAGCACCTTCCTGCCTGAAACCTTTCCCAGTTTCCCACTGGCCTGTGTGTGTGGCAGGTTTCCTCTACAAGAGGCTGATCTGCCCAACAAGACCGTTTCCCAGGACACCATAAGGACCGTGAGCTTTGGATAGTGAAGAGATTTCAAAGCCATGCAGGCGCTCAGCTTTCACGGTCCAGCTGCCTTCCCTCAAAGGCTGGCTCCCACCTGGGTGTTAGGGAGGGCGGGCCAGGATCCTTCCAGCCTGTGGCAGGGCCACCCACACCGGGCTTGGTTCATTAGGTGCTGCTGTCCTCAGAACTGAAGACTGGCGCCCTGCCCAGTGCCCTCTGGTCCGCCCCACCTCCCTGAGAGCCACAGGCTAACTCCAGGTGCCGGGAGTCTGGGGAAATAGGGCTGTACCCTCCTAGCTCCATACCCTGTCTCTGCCTTTTAGATCTCTGTGCCTGGGGGTCTTGTGTGAGGACACGGGGGAGGATGGGGGGACTTACCAGCCAGGAGGAGATGTCCCGCCGCGGGTTCAGGTCCTGCAAAGTACGCAAGCATGGCAAGCATCACAAGACAGTGATTGGGAAACGGAAAAATAAAATCAGTGGAAAGGGAAGGACATGGGAGGCCATCTGGGAAGGAGGAGGTGACAGGGTTGAAGAGGCGAGGGAGGAATGAGAGGGTAAGAAAAAGGTCGCAAGAGAAGGTGTTGGCTGGGGAGGAACTGGCGCTAGGGAAAAGCCTGTGAGCTGAGGCAAGCCAGACACCGGCGGGGCGGGCCGGGGGCTGGGGGATGCTCGGTCGGGGCCGGGGCTGGAGTGGGGGCTGGCAGGGACCCAGGTGGGGTTCGGGGCGGGGGCCGGGTCGGGGCTGGGATGCTCACCCAGGCGCCGTGCGCCGCCGGCCGCAAGATCGCCCCGACGCAGCGCATGGCCGCCTTCCGCGCCGCGCCTGTGCCCCCGCCCGCGCCGGCTCCGCCCCCGCCGGGTCACCTCCCCGCCCCCTCGGTCCCCTGCCCGCCAGGCCCCGGAAGACGCCGCAGCGTTCTGCGAGGGCTAAGGCCAGGGGCCGACGGGGTCCGGAAGCCTGGCCTCGGGGCCCGCCCAGCGGCCTCCTCGGCGCGCCGGGCGTGAGCGGTCGGCCCTGGCGCCCCCTGCCGGGCGGGTCTGGCAGCGGAACGCCCCGCGCACAGCCTCAGCGCCTGGGGCACCCGCGAGGGCACGGGACCTTCCCAGGATTCGCTGTTGCTGGCCGAGCCTCAGCCGCGCTTCTGGGAGCGAGTACGCGGGCGTCGCGTCACCTCGGGACGGGTCAGGGTCCCGACGGCCGGTGCCCACGGATTGATGCACCCTGCGGGCTGGGCCCGGGTGTGCTGAGCATTCGCGTCTGTGCGCGCTCTGCCGCTGAGTGCCGACAGAAGGGCCGCAGCCCACGCCCTCCTACCCTCCCGCAGTTGGCACCCACCTCCTGTCCCTTTCCATAAAGCCAGACCACGCACGGACTCTTCGGACTTTTTTTTTTTTTTTTTGCAAAACATTCTTTTATTAAAAGAACAAGTGCTGTTTACGAACTGCCCTTCGTACAAATAACATCCGTTATACAAAGATACAAGATCCGGGTTATGCACAATTCCAGGCTTGGAGGTGGCAGGGGGCATCGCCTTTGGGCTGAGGATATCAAGGTTTTAGAAAGAATGAAAAAGGAGCCCCTGGGTTTGCAATCTGTGGCTTCCCCTCCCTGCTCCCTAGGAAGGGTCTGCTACATGGAAACAGGCTGGGATAGAAAGGGGGCGGGATGGGAGCAGGGGTGGGGTCTCCAGTCCCACCACCCCAGTCCCAAGTTGAGCTGGAGAAAGTGAACAAAGGGGAATGAAGGCACCCCTCAGTTCCCAACTTTTCAGTAGGTCAAGACAAAGTGGTCGGGAGCTAGACACACTCTCAATCTGGGTCGCCATGGCAGGAGAGAGCCAAGGCTACTTGCCCACCTTCCTCAGAATTCCCAGTTGAAGTTACCTCAATCCCTCTAGGCACCTCTCCCCAGGAAAATAAGTTGAGATAAAGGAGAACTGGGTGCAAGCTGCCCACCCCTAACTGGCCCACTGCACACCAAGGAAGATCCTAGAAGGTGGCAGGGGAAGCCTGTGTCTTTGAAAACCTGTCTTCATTTCCAATTTGGGAAAGAGAAGCGTGGAGGTTACCCTTTCTCAGAGCTGGCCCCTAGCTTGGGCTCCTCTCATTTCTCTAGACCCTTCCTGAGAGTCTGAGGTGAGCACCTCCCTAGAACTCAGTATGGGGGGAATGGGCAGGGGTCCCCTCATCAGCCTCAAGGTCAGGACACCTTGAGGCAGCGCAGACCCAGGAGCCTGATGGGGAAAAAGCCCCACAAATAGGAAAAATGAACCTAGACAATCCTTAAAGTGTCATTGTCCATGGAGAGGATCCACTAGCTCTGAGCTAAGACAGTCAGTGCCACATAGACACCCTCCCACCCCAGGCACAGCCCTGCACTCACACTGTGTGTCACACACACAGGGACAGCAAGCCAGCCAGCCATGTGGAGACCATGCCCTGGGAACCAAGGGCCAGGAAGCCACAGTCCTGAGGGCTGGTCCTGGCCCTGTCACTGAGCCCCTTCTAAGCTTGGAGCTGTCATCTGTGATGGGAGGGGCTGGCTGAAATGACCCCTAAAGACAGGTCCCTTCAGCGCTGGCATGCACCAGTTGTGACCCCCACAGCAGGCACTGCCTCCGTATGCACCCCCACTCACACCTCCTCACCAAGGGTGGGAACACCCGACTCCACATGCTCACCACTCACACCTCCTCACTGAGGGTGGGAACACACGAAGCTCTGCTCTCTTTCCAAACTCTGCTTCCGCTCTGCAAACCACATCCTTCCCCTCCCCCAGACAAAGAGATCTACAAATCTGGGTCCCTTCCCACCCTCCACCATCCAAATTCACTCTCGTAAAAGGGACTGAGGTTAGGAGAGGGTGAGATCGTTACAGCCATCCCCCTGCATTGGTATTCTGCTCCTCCTGAAGCTTTCCAGACCTTTCCCGTTGAAGCTCCCTGAGAAGAAGGAAATGCCACTACCTCTCTCATGAGAGACGGGGGAAAGAGAAGAGGGCTGCATCAATTCATACCCAGCCTGGGCCCTGTCTTCAAATCTAACCACAGTCGCCCAGTCTGGGGAATGCAAGCGGCTTGGGAGAGTTGGAGAACAGACACTTGGAGATGAGCTGAGGGAGGGAAGAAGTATTAGGTGGGGGTGGGGTATCTTGGTTTCAATGCACAGAATCACTTGGACCTCTCACTCTTCAACATGGCAGCCTCAGGGTAGATTTACTTCCCTTCCCATCCAGACAGAAGTTAAGTTTCGCTCTAAGTGGGCCAGCCTTGGGCAAGGGCGTGGGTGTGAATGAGCAACTCTTCTAAGAATCTCTGAAGGTTACTTTTCTTTTTTTTCTTTTTTGAGACAGTCTCACTCTGTCGCCTAGGCTGGAGTGCAGTGACACGATCTCAGCTCACTGCAGCTTCAGCCTCCCGGGTTCAAGCAATTCTCATGCCTCAGCCTCCCGAGTAGCTGGGATTACAGGTGTGTGCCACCACACCCAGCTAATTTCTTTGTATTTTTAGTAGAGACGGGGTGTCACCATGTTGGCCTGGCCAGGCTGGTCTTGAACTCCTGACCTTAGGTGATCCGCCCACCTCAGCCTCCCAAAGTGTTGGGATTACAGGCATGAGCCACCGGGCCTGGCCTGAAGGTTACTTTTCTTTTCAGTGGTTTGGGGCAGGGAGTTACACAGCTTAATAGATTAAGATGAATAAAATGCTGAATTCTATCACTTCTAACATATTTAGCATTAATAAAAAGTGAGTATTTCTGAGGTCATCACAACTGCCTCTCCCTCCCCCAAGCCCTTGCAAGTGCCTAAGAAATTGCCTTTGAAGGATTCCCACCCCCTCCATTATCAGCTCCCTAACATCTTACAAAGTCTTATCAACAGGAATATTAATATTACTTTCAGTATCAGAAAAAAAACAGTTGAGCAGCACAGGCAAAAATATATCTGCACTACGTTTCTGTTGTTGCCAAAAATATACACATCTTCTTTTCTTTATTAAAAAAAAAAGAAAAAGAAAAAAAAACCCAACAACAAAAACCCAAACAAACACACACAGAAAAATCCACACATGCAAAGAGACTGACAAGGCGGGAGCCTGGGGAAGCTGGAAACCCCTACCCTGGGCTCCAACCCCAGTGCAACTAAAACAGGGACACAGGCTTCGCCTTGCCTCTTGCCTCTCTCCTGACCGTCCACTCAGCCTCTGGGCCAACGGCCTGGGCAGGCGGGGACTCTTTGAAGGTAAGAATTGCCCACTCTACCCTGGGGAAATAGCTGGTGGGTAGGGGACAGTTGTTACGTCAGCTTAGTGGCTCCCCTGGTTGGTGGGGGTGGGGTGCAGGAGGCAGGCTGGTTAATTCTGGAAGGGAGGCTTTTGCTAAAAGCAGTGGCATTTCCCTCCACCTTACCCCCTCCCCCAAGCCCTGGGGCTCCCCTTGTGCCAGAGAAGGACGAAGCTATCAGTGGGGTAGGGGCCCTAAGGGGGCCCTGAGACCATGGGGGAGGGAAGGCAGGATATTACCCTGATTCAAAGCCCCGAGCCCCCAGTGACTCTCCAATATTGGAGTACTACTCTGGTTTTTGTTAACCACTCATGCCCCCAGAGAGGGAGCAAAGGTGGTGAGGTGGGGAGGGTGCAAATAAGAGCTGGGAGGTCCCCTCTCTGGCGCTGCTTCATCTGACCACTGCGCCTATCCCTACCCTTGGCTGCCCTGGGTCCAGGGGTGAGAGACAGGCAGACAGACACACACACATACACACACATGCACACACACACACACTCACACACTGAGTCGGGCAGCTCCATCTCCCCACCCTCGGCACTCCTAAGTCCAATAGTGCAAACAAAGGGCGGGGCACCAAGGAAGGCTGGAGCCTCCCCGCACCTGCCCTCTCCTCCCCATCATGGGGCCCCAAGAGGCTGAGGCAGCTGGGACTGAGTGTGATGCTCTCCTGCCCCTTCTCCAGCCCCCGACATCTGTGGGCTTTTACAAGCTCAGCTTGTGCCCCTGCACTTGGGGGAGGGATGGCGAGATAAAGTCCAAGGGGTCCCTTCTGCCATCTGCCCGAGCTGGGAAGAAACTGCAGGTAAAGTGGGTCCAGCCCTTCTTCCATAAAAGATTTCCCCGCAGGGAAAGGCCCATGGCCTCTCCCTCCACTTCTCCCCATTCAAGTGCTGATCCATTTCATGTGACAGGTCCAACCAACCCCCTACTTCTGCCATGGCCCACTCTGCTCTGGGGAGGGGGGGACCTCCAAAATATTTGCTGGGGGTGGAGCTCCTAGGCGGGCTTGCAGCCTGTCCTTCCTCTGAGCCTCACAAAGCGGACAGTGTGGAAAGGGAAGGGGGCCAGATGGAAGGGGCTCCCCTCTCAGTCTCAGTCCTTGGCACCAGGAGCTCCCCACACTCCCTGGACCTCAGCACAGGCTCTGGGTCAGGGCTCTCCAGGGACTGGGCGCAGGCGCCTGCTCCAGGCTAGGACCCCACAGGCCAGGATCTGCTCCCTCCACTTGGGGGGTCAGGAGGGGTGAGGGTGGATTTAGCCTTTTTCCTGGTTGACTGAAGCTCCTTTGTCAGCGGTCTGGAAAGAGAAGGAGGGAGGCCGGGGGTGCGGAAAGTGTCAGGTCCTAACCCCGAGATAAGAACAGCTTCCTGGGCCAAGAAAGCTGCTGTGGGGTGCTGAACCGGGCCCAATGGAAGCCTCTGGACTGGGCTCTGAGGGGTGCACGCCAGGGCCGATGCACAGGGGTGTGAAACCATCCTGCAGAAGAGCACCGGGCAGCGGAGGCATGTGCCAGCTAAGGCTGTGTGCCCTCAGGAGGGGGAGAGAGGGCCTTTCTGACATTGGCCTACCCAGAGGGTCATCTTTTTCTAATTGGTCTGCTCAGAAACAAAATGGCTTTTTCTAATTGGTCCTCCTGGAGGAAGCCTGTTTTCT